TTGATCCAATAACAGATTGGTGTTTCACTTTGTTCGGCGATTTTTTTGCGTTTCGTATTCATCGGCGAAGAGTCAATACGTTGTTTTTATGCTCACGGGTTCAAATGGTGGATAAACTCATTTATAAACACAGCAATAAAGTGAGAAACATGAGCCTTACGACACTTTTTTCGCAAAGAGACAGTCCAGAGAAACAGCGAGTCTCATTTGAATTCTTTCCGAGCATAACAAATAAACTAAAGAAAAAATTCGCTGAATACCAGATGGAAATCGTATTTAGAAACGACAACAAACTGTCTAATTTGTTAGGCTCAACGAAGGATAAGATTGATGCACTGAAAAAATCTGGCATTTATACAGTGACTTGTGGTGAGTGCAAAAAGAATTACACGGGACAAACAAAACGGAGTATTGAGAAACGTTTTTGTGAACATGTTGCATGCATTCGACTCAACCACCCGAACAAGTCAGCTGTAGCCGCACACGTTCTTATAGACGGCCACACAAATGTAAACAAAGACTGTGTGAAACTGAAGAAACAAGTGAACGATTGCCGTCGGCTTGATGCATACGAAGCAATTTACATACAGGCAGACGAAGCTAAAAACCAATCGCTTAACCAAGACAGAGGCAATATCGAATCGCCACTGTTTGCCAAATTAAAGTAGTTTACGGTACATTTGTTTGTGTGTGAGTGTGGTTTTTTTGTATCGAGTGTTGTTATTTTTTCATTTCGTATGTCTCATCTCAATTCGTACATTGGCGTGTGAATTTGTCATCGTGTAGCTGATTTTCCTGTCGACAAATTAGTCGTGATTGCTGATGATGGGCAGTAACAGTGCCCGAAATGCATTCAGGTTAGAATTAAATTTATTATCAATAATTTAATCCGACTCTTGTAGTGTCAATAAGGTTAAAAAATTCGGCATTCAATAGAGTGTATCCAAGTGGATGTTGTTGGACACTACGCAGTTTAACTAAGAAATTAACAATAGTTTCGTTTGTTTCTTTCGTTCGATTTGATACATTTACATTTTTAGTACATTTTAGCACAGCTTAGTACCATTTAGTACGATGTGCTGCCTCCTAGAATTGTTAGGAATCGCTGGAAATGCACTAGGACCATTTTTCCAAATTTAGTACAATTAAGTACAAACTAGTACAGATTAGTACATTTTAGTACAGTGCGCTGCATAGCTCTGCTGAAGTTCTAAGACTTTGCTGCAGTGATCAATGCTTTATTTGCAACGGTTGAGAATTTATAGGCTTACATACTGAAAAATGCACACCTGTCAAAAAATAACGGTAAATCATAAAATCAAAAAAATATTCATATTCCAAATAGTTCTGTAGAGTAAAGTTAAGCCAACTAGCCTTCTCGGCGCGCTTCGCTTATGTACTTCGGGCCTGAATTGGCCAAACCATCAGAATTTACCATTTTACAGCATTAACTTAAAAAACAGAAATTCCATCACATTTAAATGCCATTGACCAATGGTCAATGACCAGTAAACGTTCCGATGTTTCAATTTTTTTCTCGCAAAATTCCATCTGGGTTCGGTAGTTGGGCTCAAATGATGACGATTGGTACAAATAAAACTTTCTCCAGTTCACAGGAGGGTTCCCAAGGACCCCCAAAGTACGAAAAATCGGCGATTTTCAAAAATTCAACTTCTAAACGGCTGAGAATTTTGCTATATTCTCTTCGACAAAGTTGTAGATCTTGACGAGGTAAGAAACATTGCTAAAAATGTCACCCCAAAAAACCCACCCTTTCAGGGCAAAAAGTCACCCCGAAAAATTGAGTTTTTTTTGTTCGTGGGTGGGTTTTTTGGGTGATTTTAATATATAGTAGGCGTTCGCGTGCACAATGTGCACTGCACATGCTTCAAATTCTTTTCAGATAACACATTTTGCAACAAATTCCCACATAAAGCAATGCATTGCATTAACCTTCAAACCGTAAAATGTATTTTCTAACGTTGTTCGTAAAATCGGTGCCTGAGTGCCCATAATGCATTTTATATGGGAAATGTCAGTTTTTTCTTAAATTTTTATTTTTAAATGTAAATGTTTCAGTATTTATTGATCGGAAAAGTATGGAAATTACTTTGAAATGTGATAAAAGTCATAAAAAATGGAAATTTGAAAGACAACAGCAAGTTTCTTGGAATTTTTTCAATAAAGTGGGAATTGCAATGTTGATCTCTTCACAAAAATGAAGGCAAAAACATATACATACAAATTCCACTATTGCCGATTTTGACGTCAAAAATTGAGATTTTGAACGGCAGGTTGGATCAAAAAGTTATGTATATCACTAGAGAGGTCTTGAAAAGTAGATGTCATTTTTGGTATAAAACTTCAAAATAGGCCGGCATTTGGCCAATATTTGGCAGTTGGATTTTTTTTGGCCAAAATTGATAAAATGGCCACATTTTGATAAAATGATGATCGATTTTGATGTTTTATAACTCAAATTACATGTACTCTTCAAGATCTTTCCAATGATGTATATTTCATAGTTCCCACATTAATTTTTATACGCAATTCGTCGAAAAATGTATATGGGCACTCAGGCACCCATTTTACGTATAGCGTATCACACAAGTTTGCGCGCATATGTGGTAAGCTAGTGCGCGTATGTGGGTATGTTAACGCAATTTTTGTAGCCAAATGTTCAACGAATCGAACCATAGTTATTTTATTAATTTATGATAAGAAATAATTAAGATATAAGCATTTAGAGTTGGTTTTGGGCACACAGTGCCCAATTTACGGTTTGAAGGTTAAATACAATAGCAAAATGAAAATATTTGAATATTTTGAATTGGCGAACAAACCGATCAATCAAAAAGACTTTCTTGAAATAAATACTGTAGAATCCTAATAAATTTGCATTTTTCAGGAGAAGAATTTCTAAATATTCAATGGACAAGATATAAATAAATAGGTGATAGCCAGTATTCCCAGTATTCTTTCGCTCAGTCTAATTTTTCGTGTTAAGCTTTGTGGTCCACTAAGAAAACCATGACTGTCAACAGTCTGCTTGGTCAATTTGTACTTTTGGTTAGTTTGCTTAATCTGTTATCTTGTTCCATTTCTGTGACGGATACAACAAAGTTATTAAGGGTGGCTCCGAGAAAAGGTAAGGTTAATGCAATTTAAAACGATATTAGTTTTGATGAATGGTTTTGTTACTTGCTTTATACACAAGCAACGGTGGTGAGGTGACGGCTCTGATTTAATACGAACATTTTTAGGACGATTCGCTCGAAATTACCATATCAATATGGATTTTCAGTTAAAAAACCGTACTGTAATTCGAAAAAATTCAGTACACATACGGTCTCTTAGCTAAATACAACTACCTAAAAATGTTCGTATTAGTTTTGATGTTTATATTTCGCCGTCTGAGCGACGCTCAGCGAGCGTAGGCAGAATAGTTGTCACATATGCAATACCATTCATTTTACATTTTACACAAACAGCGGGACACTTCCCGAACGTTGCGTCACCATCTACCAACACTTTGACCGATGCCATTGGAAATTATACATTTTCTTTGGTATCTTGTTCACGCTTCAGTCCAACTCTTTCAGAGGTTGAAAAACGGTTAAAGTTTGGCGTAATTGGCCATGATTATAACATAAATGTGAAGGATGTGAAAACCAAAAGCGAACACTACAAAAATTTTGCTAATATAATAAGACAAGCGCGAAACGTTACCGTTATTGCGGGCGGTATGAATACAAAATCATTTAATTTTGCCAACAATCTAAAGGATCGCGTTGGGCCGGGTACCGTGGTTTATGTAAACTGGGACGGGATCAATGGTGGTCCGTTGGACTACGGAACGTTTGCACACAATGCTCCAATTATTGGCCATTGGGCGGGATACTTGATGGAAAAATTGGCTGACGATGGTGCAATAGATGTATCGAAATCGATTGGTGTTGGATTTAGTTTGGGCGCACATATAATTGGCAACATGGGGTACCATTTGACACAAAATAAACTACAAATGGCACATATAATCGCATTAGATCCGGCGGCACCGTGCTTTGAAGATTGGCATAAACTTCGGCCAGTTCAACGCGACGATGCTAAGCTAGTGCAAGTGATTCACACAGACGTAGAATGGTATGGTTATGAACGGAAGATTGGCCACATCGACATCTACCCAAACAACGGCAGAAATCAACCGAAATGCTCGGGAAATATATTTAAATTACATTCATGTTGGCATTCTTATGCATGGAAATTGTACAAACTAAGGGATGTTAAAGCAGGTTGCGCCAAAAACTGGGACGAATTCAAACAAAATATTATTGACCATACCATTCCAATTGGCCAGGATTTAAATTCGGATCATTCAGTTGAGGGCCGAGATTGCACATATTATTTGCACTCGCCATCGCCAGCGGCATAAAAAATATTTTTTTAATAATTTAAATAATTCGGAGATTTTCAGCTGATTTCGTGTGGAATGGTCGATCATGATACATACAATTTTTAAGTATCACAGAAAAAAGTTCATGTGAATTCATTTTCAATTTGAATGTAAACTATGCTAGGAATTTCAATAAAATAATATAAATCCATAGTGCAAACGTAATACCAATTTTATACGGTTATGTCCAAGTTCCTATCAATAAAATCACAATTTGAGTTAGATTGTTTTGTTGTTGTTCGAAAATGTGTCCTTCGTTTCCGACATATGACTTAATTTGATTAAATTTTTATTGATTAATTAATATAAAATGAGTGATTCATGTTTGCTATGGTCAGTTTATTTTCATCCGTTGCCGACGCTAAATTATTTTAAAATGATTCTTAGTGGATTTTTCTAGGATTCATGCTCTGTAATCAAGTTGGCAGCACAAAGTATGTTCAACGCTTTAATTTATTTCTCGAAAGGTTGTCGTAAATGTTTGAATCATTTTTTGTTCGAGAAATCGAAGAAAATTCACAATTACTTAGAACAAAGCACTTTTCTTATGAAATTTTGATCGGTAACGCAAAAGAAAGCCCGGTGGCGCACAGTAGCCTGAGTCAGCAAATTCACTTCAGTTCAGCTGCCTCAGCATCAAATATGCACTCTCTGTTCTTTATGCAAAACAGTTTCATTTTTTCGGTTGTAGAATGTGAATTGTGCAATCACTTTGAGATTTCGTCGATTGTTCCTATCGAGCGCCGCGTAGAATCAAATGTTTCCATGCGTTAAAAACGCATAAAAAGATCCGTTTTTATGCACATGCCTTTATGTAAGTGTAAACGTCGCGGAAAATCGGATCTTTTCATGCGACGACTCGCTTAATAGTTACGCTGGCCACCGCATTTTCTAGCAGCACAATCGCTGTTGCCAGTAAGTGCCATGATTTGAAAAGAAATCATACGCGTACATTTGCGCGTGATTCCACTATAATGGTTTACTTCAGTCGCTCACTAAACTGAATGTGTCACATATTTGTGACGTCGAACGAATCTGCTTACGCCACAAAAATGTTTTGAGTGAAACTCGCAGATCAATGTTGTTTGAAAACTTGAAAAAACATGTTGCTAACTGTTTGTAATCAGTGGTAATACGTAATGAAAAAGAAATTGCAATAAATTGATATTCGTCTTAAATATTTTTATCTCAAATATTTCGCTATTATTTTTTATTTAGTGTAAACATTTCACCGATATTTAAATATAAATATCCCCCATATTCATCGTAAATATTTTTTTCGAGCTTGGTTTTAATGTCGTATCGTAAGTTCATAAAATTCGCTACGTTTTTTTTTCTCAACATTTTTAAAGTAAGCTACTGAATAATAAAATGTTTATTTTATCTTAAATAGTAGAATTTCGATAAATTTTTTTTCTCTAGAATTCTTTTTTTCAATAATAGGCTGATTTTCATACATATTTCAGAATATAAATAAATAGGTGACAGTCAGTAGTTCCAGTCAGTATTCTTTCGCTCCGTTTACATTTTCTTGTTAAGCTTTGTGGTCCACTAAGAAAATCATGATTGTCAACAGTCTGCTTGGTCGCTTTGTACTTTTATCTTGCTTGCTTGGTCTGTTATCTTGTTCCATTTCAACGATTGACACAACAAAGTTATTAAGGCCTTCGAGAAAAGGTAAAGTTATGCAATTTAAAACAATATTAACGATGTACCAGTTTATATTTCGCCGTCTGAGCGTTGGCAAACTAACTCTCACAAATATAGGTACACAGACAAAACTGAATTGGTGAACCCTGCCAATACTATTGGTGAAATGCAAAAGTACCAATAGATTACATTATTGAATCCTGACAGTCTATTGGTGAAACATGATTCTATCAATGAAATTTTTCATTTGTATTGGTAAATTCAACGGCGGTATTAGCAAATTTGGCACTTGAAATTACCAATACAAATCAAATATTCTATTGGTTAAATGACATTTCACGAATAGAACTTTTATGCTTTAAAAATGTTGTTTTATGTGTGTTATGTTTATTATAATTTATTTTACGTTTTACACAAACAGCGGGACATTTCCCGATCGTTGCGTCGCCATCTACCAACATTTTGACCGATAACATTGGAAATTCTGCATATTCTTGGTTGCCTTGTTCGCTTTTTGGTCCATCCCAGGTTGAAAGTCATTTAAAATTTGGTGTAATTGGCCATGATTACAACATAAATTTGAAAGATGTGAAAATCAGAAGCGAACATTACAAAAATTTTGCTAATATAATAAGACAAGCGCAAAACGTTACCGTTATTGCGGGCGGTATAAATACAAAATCGTTTAGTTTTGCTAACAATTTGAAGGATCGCGTTGGGCCAGATAGCGTGATTTATGCAAACTGGGACGAGCTCAACGGTGGTCCAGTAAACTACGGAATATACGCACACAGTGCTCCGATCATTGGCCATTGGACGGGATACTTGATGAAAACATTGGCTGACGATGGCGCAATAGATGTATCGAAATTGATTGGTGTTGGATTTAGTTTGGGTGCGCACATAATTGGCAACATGGGGTACTATTTGACACACAATAAACTAAAAATGGCACATATAATGTATGTATAGTATGCATTTTATTAAATTTATTTCGTGAATTGAAATTTTTTTGGAATAAACTTTCGTCATTTGATTTCTTTCCAACACGAATTTGTAATACCTTGGATCCGGCCTTGTAGTGCTTTAGATCCGGCGTCACCGTGCTTTGAAGATTGGCATAAACTTCGGCCAGTTCAACGGTACGATGCTAAACTAGTGCAAGTGATTCACACAGATGTAGAATGGTTTGGTTATGAATGGAAGATTGGCCATATCGATATCTACCCAAATAAAGGCAGAAATCAACCGGATTGCTTCGGAAATGAGATGGAATTAAATTCATGTTGGCATTCTTATGCATGGAAATTGTACAAACTAAGGGATGTTAAAGCAGGTTGCGCCAAAAACTGGGACGAATTCAAACAAAATATTATTGACCATACCATTCCGATTGGCCAGGATTTAAATTCGGATCATTCAGTTGAGGGCCGAGATTGCACATATTATTTGCACTCGCCATCGCCAGCGGCATAAAAATATTTTTTTAATAATTTAAATAATTCGGAGATTTTCAGCTGATTTCGTGTGGAATGGTCGATCATGATACATACAATTTTTAAGTAGCACAGAAAAAAGTTCATGTGAATTCATTTTCAATTTGAATGTAAACTATGCTAGGAATTTCAATAAAATAATATAAATCCATAGTGCAAACGTAATACCAATTTTATACGGTTATGTCCAAGTTCCTATCAATAAAATCACAATTTGAGTTAGATTGTTTTGTTGTTGTTCGAAAATGTGTCCTTCGTTTCCGACATATGACTTAATTTGATTAAATTTTTATTGATTAATTAATATAAAATGAGTGATTCATGTTTGCTATGGTCAGTTTATTTTCATCCGTTGCCGACGCTAAACTATTTTAAAATGATTCTTAGTGGATTTTTCTAGAATTTATACTCTGTAATCAAGTTGGCAGCACAAAGTATGTTCAACGCTTCAATTTATTTCTCGAAAGGTTGTCGTAAATTTTTGAATCATTTTTTGTTCGAGAAATCGAAGAAAATTCACAATTACTTCGAACAAAGCACTTTTCTTATGAAATTTTGATCGGTAACGCAAAAGAAAGCTCGGTGGCGCACAGTAGCCTGAGTCAGCAAATTCACTTCAGTCCAGCTGCCTCAGCATCAAATATGCACTCTCTGTTCTTTATGCAAAACAGTTTCATTTTTTCGGTTGTAGAATGTGAATTGTGCAATCACTTTGAGATTTCGTCGATTGTTTCTATCGAGCGCCGCGTAGAATCAAATGTTTCCATGCGTTAAAAACGCATAAAAAGATCCAAGGAAATTTCGACAAAAATTGAGGACAAAAAATCAAACTTTTGCAATTGCGATCAACATGAAACTTTCAGAATCTTATTTTTTCTTCAAAAAATGAAACCTTAGAAAGTTTGAAGCCAATCAGAATCGATTAGCGTGTACCTCCCATACAAAATGGTCCAAAATTCGGTAATTTCAGTCAAAATTTCAAAAAAAAAATTATGGGAGGTACCCGTAAATCGATTCCGATTGGTTCCAAACTTTCAGAATCTTATTTTTCTCCCAGAAAATGAAATCCCAGAAAGTTTAAAGCCAATCGGAGTCGATTTACAGGTAACTCCCATACAAAAAAGTCAATTTTTTGATGTTTTTCTTAGTGCAAGTACCCCAAGATCAAATCGAAAATGGCTCATCTTCGAACTTAAACTAAGTTTTTCGAATAAAAAACTTTTGGAATTTCCAGATTTTGATTATCTCAATTATTTTTTGAGTTATCGTGTTAACAAACAGCTACGACGACGACGACGACGACGACGACGACGACGACAACGACGATGACGACGACGACGACAACGACGACGACGACGGCGACGACGACGACGACGACGGCGGCACACGAACGGAAAAGTGTCTCAAAAAGTGGTTTTCTACGCGTTTCATGAGTTTTAATGATGATCTGAGCTAATTTTGCGAAAAAAGTTTTCGGGACCAATTGCTATACTTTCCCTTGACACGGTGTGTACGGAAAAGTAAAAAGTTCTATTTGTGAAATTTCATTTCACCAATAGAATATTTCATTTGTATTGGTAATTTTAGTATAAGTGCCAAATTTACTAATGCTGTTTATATTGTATTGAGTTTACCAATACAAATAAAAAATTCCATTGGTAGAAACACGTTTCACCAATAGACTGTCAGGGTTCAATAATGCAATCTATTGGTACTTTTACTTTTCACCAATAGAATTTGCAGGGTTCACTGATTCAATTTTCTCTGTGTAGGAAATTTCAAATAAATGTATGAACCAAGGTTTATTATTTAGTTGCGCTTAAAGGGCTAAGAGTATTGACATAGTAATGTGATTTTCAGTAACAATATTTCCGTAATTGGACATATCAACTTCAGCAAATGCAAGTTTAATATCAACCTAATTAAAATGGATGTAAAATCAATTGGATATGTTGAAAATAATTTTTGCTTATCGCTATAATGTCTTATCGTAACTTTCATACAGTTTGTTACGTTTCGCTACATTTCGTTAGGTTCATTTCTTCCAACATTCTTGAAGTAAGTTACTGTATACAGTTCTATATAATGAAAAATCTATTTTATTTTGGACAAATTTACATTTTTCAGGAGAAGAAATTCTAAATATTCAGAGCTTTCATTTTATTAGATATTTCAGAATATAAATAAATAGGTGACAGTCAGCAGTCCCAGTATTCTTTCGCTCAGTCTAATTTTTTCGTGTTAAGCTTTGTGGTCCACTAAGAAAATCATGACTATCAACAGTCTGCTTGGTCGATTTGTACTTTTGGTTGGTTTGCTTGGTCTGTTATCTTGTTCCATTTCTGCAACGGACACAACGAAGTATTTAAAGGTGGCTCCGAGGAAAGGTAACAGTCCATATTTCGCCGTTTGAGCGTAGGCAAAATAGTTCTCACATATATGTAATGCAATTTATTTTACATTTTACAAAAACAGTGGGATTCTTCCCGCTCGTTTCGTCGTCATCTAACAAAACTTTGACCGAGGACATTGGAAAACTTACATATTCTTTGGTACCTTGTTCGTTTCATAGTCCAAATCCTTTTAAGGTTGAAAAACTTTTGAAATTTGGTATAATTGGCCATGATTACAACATAAATTTAGAAGATGTGAAAGATAGAAGCGAAAACTACAAAAAATTTGCAAATGTAATAAGACAAGCGCGAAACGTTACCATAATCTCCGGAGGTATAATGTCAAATTCATTTGATTTTGCCAACAATCTTAAGGATCGCGTTGGATCGGGTATCGTTTTATACGTAAACTGGGACGAGCTCAATGGTGGTCCGTTTAACTATGGAACGTATGCGCACAATGCTCCAATCATTGGCGATCGAACGGGATACTTAATAAAAACATTGGCTGATGATGGTGCAATAGATGTATCGAAATTGATTGGTGTTGGATTTAGTTTGGGCGCACATATAATTGGCAACATGGGGTATCATTTGACACAAAATAAACTACAAATGGCACATATAATCGCATTAGATCCGGCGTCACCATGCTTTGAAGATTGGAATGATCTTCGGTCAGTTCAACGTGACAATGCTAAACTAGTGCAAGTAATTCACACAGATGCAAAATGGTTTGGTTATGAACGGAAGATTGGACACATCGACATCTACCCAAACAACGGCGAAAACCAACCGGAATGCAGTATGATCTTAATACATACTTGTTGGCATAATTATTCATGGAAATTGTACAAACTAAGGGACATCAAAGCAGGTTGCGCCAAAAACTGGGACGAATTCAAAAAAAATAATATTGACCATACCATTCCGATTGGCCACGATTTAAGTTCGGATCATTTACTTGAGGGCCGTGATTGTACATATTATTTGCACTCGCCAAAGGCTGAATAAAGTTAATTGTAAAGCCATTAGGTCGAAAAACATGTTATTCTGAATAGCACAAACAAATAAATAATTTGTATGACGAATATGGTTTTAATCTCTCGTTTGATTGTTATTTCTATACAGGGGGCAGCATAAGAGACGCTCTGGTAGTACATACTATATGAGTGTGGCGCGAAAAATGACGTTTTCGAAATTTTTGCACTGTCTATGGATCGTCACTGGTCGAGCTATCTCCTTTCATGATAGACTTTTTTAAAACAGTTTTATAGTCCCAATTTTTGTCAGCATTTTACTAAACTTTGAATGAAATGCGCGCAGTTTTTTCTATTGATTTAAACGTGATTTAAAGTAATGATTTTGATTGTGTTATTTGTGCTGCTCTATATTTATTATTATACGGAAAATATTGAGACCGTTCAGAAGCCGGCGAATTCATTCCAGGTGACTATTTACAATTCCTCATTTGCTGAACAATTCCTCATTGGGTTTTGTGGGAAATTAGAGCTTTCTTTCGATTTTTTGCTAGTTTTTGCCAGAATTTTCGACCATTTACTCTCAATTTCACCAAAAAAAAATGGAAAGTGTTGTGAAACTGCATAGATTCCATAATCGAAATTAATTTCAACCACCTGGTTTGTTTTCGACTTCGGCACAAGTGGCGAATTACTGCTAAAACTATTGAAAAAATTAACCAAATACTGAAAAGTACTACTGAATTCCAGTTTTCAATTGTAATACGCCCCTGGCTTCGGTCAGTTATTCTTTTTGTGGAATTTATGACCGAAAGAAGTTTTTGTTAAAAAAAAGTTGGTTTTATCAATTAAACCCCTCATTTTAGACGCAAAATCCTCCAAAGTATTACGATGATGGTTTGCGTAATGACTGGTCATTCGTCATATCACGAAATTATCACGATCACTTGTTGTCTGAATGGAGTGAACCGATTGGAAACCAAAATGCATCGAATCCATCAGATCGAGGAGAGTATGGACGAGCATTCGTTCCAAGAAAAGACGAAGAAGAATTGATGAATCAACTATAACAGCAGCACAATTGAATGCCTGAGAATAAATGTAATTTCTGTAGTATTCGCAGAGCGAAACGACACAAAAATGATTCGCATTTCAAAGCGACACAAAATTCTGTTATCCGTTCAATACGACGCATAGAATTAGTATTTACACACTGTCTGTGTTCCGCTTTGTTCTGAGGACACGACAGCGTGTCGCTTGGTTCGAGTAACCAAATATTGTGTCGTTTTGAAATGCGACGCACATCCATTGCTCACATTGAACCGATAACTGAACATGGGAAGTTTGTATGAAAACCTCGGAGCGCCGCT